TAGCAACAATGGTGCATTGGAATATCTGCAAGAAATGCCATTTGCCTGCAAGCAAGAACTGATGGGACCACAAAACAGACAAGTAATAGAAAATGAAGAAACTAAAGTGCCCTGGGACTTAGAATTTTGGAATTCAAACAAACAAGCACCAGCCAAACAGCACCACAGACTTAACAATTATTGATAAGAAAGACAAAAAAAGTCTGGATAGTGGACATTGTAATACCTAGAGACAGCAGAGTAGCCGAAAAAGAACTGGAGAAAATCATAAGGTACACAGATCTGCAAATAGGAATAGGACAACTGTGGCAAAAGAAAACAAAGATAGTATAAATAGTTATAGGCACCTAAGGTGCAATCCCAAAACACCTGGAGCACCACTTGAAGACCATCAGCATTGACAAATTCACCATCAGTTAATTGCAAAAGGCAGCTTTACTTGGAACAGCTTATATCTTGCAATGATACCTTTAACGCCATCCAACAACATCTGCCTATCCCGGGTCCTTGGAAAGGACTCAATAGATGGATAAAAATGCTAAATCCAGTCTAAACATCTGCCTGACTGTGCAACCAACCATAAAAAATGATAATGATAATGATAATGCCACCAAATCAGAAAGACTCAAGCAACATACAGAGTTAAAAACATATATATGCAAGACCAAAAATGGAAAAACCAATACATTAGGGTAATATACATGCAAAACTCCAACCTGGAATCACCAACCAGGTGGGATCACAAATCATCCCAGCCTCTGGTCTCTTTGAAAAAGAAAGTTTTAAAGTTTTCCTAAAGGATAAGAGGTTGGGGCCAAATGAACTTCAGAGTGAATGGTATTCCAGAGAATGAATGCCTCCAGGTTCTCAGAAGATGGCCGTCTTTAGTCAATGGATGGTGGAGTATTTGCTTCTTAAACTGATCATATAGGACAGGCAGAGACAATTAGGAGAAGGTAGTGCTGAGCCCTTTGGGATGACAGCTAGCACCTTGAATTGCCTCTGGAAACCCACTGGTGAACAGTAGAGCTTGCAAAGTAGGAGCGTCAGAAGATGGTACATCCATAAGTACTCATGCAGCTGCATTTGAGACCACCTGCAGCATCCACGTGTTCTTCAAGGACAGCCCAGTATACAGCAGTCCAGATGGGATTCCAGTGGTTCTGGACGAAAGTCCAGAAGTAATCTGTGTAACCCTCCTGGAAGTCATGGTGTGAGGAAAATGAGGAAAATATATCTTTGGGTGAAAGAAGCAAGTTTTTAGCAGCCTTAGATGAATGGGATTGCCTTAATAAAATTGAAACATAAAGGAATGTGCAGCACCCTTGAAGCTGACATAAACTAGGCTGATTGTAACCCCTTATCACAAACATCCCCAATAGCAACATAAGGGAGGATGTCTTCGTCCAGGCAGTTGGCATCTTGAACAATGTGTTTCTTCCCCTCTAACACTATTACTTACCTTAGAGATAGCAGTTGTCCTGTCCTTGTAGATAGTGGCCAAGAACAGGGACAGAAAGTAACTAGAGAAGTATTGCTCCTTAAAATATGCCTGCATCATCATATGAATATGTATACATATGTGCTCTTTTCCCTTCCCTTCTTGTAGAACTGTATAAATATCAGGGCATCCATTTTGCCTACAGGGGAGCATCTCCCACTAACCTTTGGTGGGGTTCCCCTCCAGTATGTACTGCCTAATAAACACTGCAGTGATGCCTTGATTATTTTGCCTTTGTGTCCTGTGTTTTGATTCCACAATGGTTTAAAGCACTTTGTATCTAGTCATGCTCATAGTATTGAATTCAGAGGCATAACAAGTTGGTGAAAGAAAAAAACTTAAGTTCCACAGGGTTCAATCAGCAAAAGTTAATTAATTGCTCTTTCACATTCTGCCATAGAGTCAGCAAAGAAGAGGGAGTGTTTAGAATGGACTATTATTTAAAGGATTTAACCCCAGTTTGAAAAATTCCAAGGTCACAGATAAACTTAAATAAGAAAAAAGAAAAATAGATTGTATTAAAAATCTTTACCCTTCAAGCTGCAAGACCTGGTTAGCCTTGCAAAGGGGGCTGTGTGGCCCACAGACTCCT